CACTGGATCCCATTTCGCTGTTCTCTAGTTGTTTCCTTCATGATCCAGTCCATAAGGTGGGTAGAAGTGTTATATTTTCCAAGAGGAACAAACAGTGTTAAAGAGAAGGGCAAGGATCAGTACCTTAAGTGACCAGTACTAAGCTTTATTATAAAATAAGTAGAAAAGAAAGTGATAATGAAAAGTTTTTTTCATATATTTCTGATTTCAAATTTTCTATGTGAGGATAGCTTAGACATTGCATTGTCACGCATGCATCATCACACATGTATTGTCACACGCATTATCACACAAGCATTGTCACATATGCATTGTCAGACATGTATTGTCACAAATGCATTGTCACATGCATTACCATACATTAATTCATATAAAGTTTTGTAGCAATAAGGTGTTAATAAAAGGTAGGATGGTATGTCTTATCTCCTTGGAATGTGTTTGAAATGTAGCATGAAAACAGGATACAATTGGGAACAATGTAGACGATTAAGATGGACTTCTTTTTGTTACATTCCACAAAAAATTTCATTGCTTCTTTAAATGTACACTTGTGCATTCCAGTTGATACTATTTTAAGTCTCCTTTGGATGTCAGCTCTCATCCAGTATAGCTGGATTCGAAGCAAATATCCTAAGCATGTCTTTTTCAATAAAATGCAAATGTCCAGGTATAATAAGAGAGTGTAAAGGTGGCCCGAGGTCATGTGACAAGAGCTCCTTCATGCTGCTGCAAACTATCTGCTGATTGGCTGAGCCAACTCGTGCTACGCCCACAGCAATTGTATCATCAGTGTAAGCTAACAAAAAACAAAAGGGTATAACCAGAATGAGAAGATAAGTGAAAAGCTAAAATGTCATACACTGTATATACAGATCAATATCAGTATCTGGGCAACTGCCCACCTACCCCTCCCCTAACTCAACAACAGTCAATTGACAACAAGTTAAGGTTAATGTTGAGTTAGGGGAGGGGTAGGTGGGCAGTTGCCCAGATATTGATATTGATCCATATATACTTGGAATAGCTGTCAACATGGCTGTGTCAAACAAGAAGAAAGTAAATCATGTTGGTCTCTTAACATGAACATCATCCTCATTTATAATCTGCCATTCAAATTTATACTACTCAGATATTCACAGTAATTCATTTTTCATCACACAGGTTTCTTACAAACCAAAAAAAGGACCTGCTCCCTGTTGGCTTGTTAGCTCAGTTGATAAAGCTAATTACAATTGGTAATTACCAATGAGATCTTACAAGTGAAAGGATTTGAACCAATAAAATTGAAGCAAAACTACCACTCAGCTGAAAAGAATGAGCAAATGTTATCAACTAATCAAAACTTATCAAACTCCTAGGTATGGTGACCCCAAAGCAACAGGGTAGACCATGTCTGATCACTTCTGAGGCCAAGGGCCTAATCTTTAACTCCTGGAAGCCATTAACAAGTAACTTCCCACTTATGATATCCATACATTATCCAGCAAACTGGTAGAGAGAATAATCAAACTTATCAGGTAGAAGTTATAATAATTTTGATCAAACACCAAATTCTTGTAACTTATTTACTAGGAAATGTGTAGCAGTTGGAAGGGAGAATTAACAATCAGATCTGGGAAGTTAAAAGGGTTAAGATGATCCTACCTGGTGGTTCTCCTTGCAAATCTCTGTTCCTCACAACATCTAAAAGTTGACTCACTGCTTCATTTACACTCATGTAACGTGGAGGTTCATAAACCTTTCTCCCCCTAAAACAAAGAACTTGAAGTTAAGAAATACAGACCAACTGCAGTTAATGGGTCAATCAATCTGAAGCTTCAACCCCCCCAGGCAACCCCCTGTGATCCTTTCAGTTGCCATGCCAAGTAGAAAAAAAGTTGAGTGACTAAGCCTGAGGCTATAGTCAGATTAAATTTACCAATTA